ACAAGCATCACCCAAGGTGAGTGAGTGTAAAGAAATGAATATTTCAGTTCAAGGAAAAAAAGGACGAAAGAAAACAAAACTATGAAATAAAATATAATACGGTACATTATAAAGAAAGAGACTGCACCTACATAGTACATGTGAGAGAGCTTCTTCTAAATTTTCCTAGCACTACATGTGGTAGTGGTAGTGGTAACGTGCTTGCTTTGCCTATCTTAGCTTAGCTTCAAGAACAGCAGTCAATTGCTCTGCAGCTCTTGTCTTGGCTTTATAGCCTTCAAGTGCCACACTTACAGTGCACTTTGCTGCGGTTTACTCACTTCTAAATGCTTGCTCGTGTGCATACATATGTGTATACATGTACGATAGGTATTTAGCAGTGTGTGCAAAGGTAATGGGCACGAGTATGTAATGTAAGTACTTTAGCAGTTACCTCTAGCCGTCTACTTGCATACATATAAACACGTACAGTGGCGAAAATATAAATAGGGAAGATACATTTTAGCATTCTTTGGCTTATTCTTTTCGTTTATTTAAATTTTTTTTATTACTATTTCAAATGTTTTTAAGAAATCTAATTAAAAAGCACTAAATTTTGATGAAACTTTGTCAAATTTTGCTAATTTTTGGACAAATTTTGAAATTTGGATTCACATGTCTTTTGTAGACAGTAAACTATATTTTCATAGTAAAGTAATAAAAGAAAAATTAAATAAATAAAAATAGCTAAAACTTGCCAAAATGTCCCTTCCTTATTTACAATGTCGCCATCGTATATATGCAGACGTGCATATATACATATGTGCTGCCAAAGCCGACGGCTTTCTTTTGCATATATATGTGCATACATATATGAATGAAGTTTTTTGATAAAACCACTTATCTCGAGTTAGGTCACTTTCTCTTTAAAGCAATATTTGATTGCCGTTCCACACAATATTTCAACTAGTAAATAGCCAAAGGTGCAGTTTAAAATGGCCGTTTAATAGCAGCTTGATAAATATATAAAATTTTTGTAAAGACAAGCGTATTACTTTTTAACCCAAAGATAAAATTTCTAAAGTCATTTAAGTTATTTGTCAAAATGCCAGAGATATGTATATATGCATGTACATTTGTAGCACTTTAGAATGTCTTTGTCAATGACTGCTATCAAATGCTATTGCAGCTGCTGCAGTTAAATACTTCACATATCCTTTCTTAATGACTGGCCTCTTGGCATTTTGCCGCATCATTGTCCGCTCCTACCTCATTGTTTCCTTGTATCATAGCGTTGTTTTTATTTTCAGAATATTGTTGAGTCAATAACAGGTCAATTATCCCCAGTCAAGGATCCTGAGAAGCTTCTGCAGGATATGGATGTCAATCGTTTGCGTGCTGTTATCTATCGAGATGTGGTAAGTGTTGAATAGTTTAAGATTTTGTATGTAAGATGGCATTTAAAAGACAGTGGCGGCCACGTAATAACGGACACGACTTTTTTAATAGTTTTGACAATTTATTATTTTATGTTATTTATTAAAAAAAAATGAATATAGGTATGGATATGTATTTCATACTACAATAGAATCCATATAACTAAAAAAAATTTTTAACATAAATGCCGCCAGTAAAAATAAAATCAAAAATCAAAGCGATTTTAGAGCTACTTTAAACTTGCACAATAAAATTAAAATTTAATAGACCGTCATTTAGACTATTATAGCCTATTTCCACCAATGACTTTACTGCAGTTTAGAGCTCAGAGAAATTCAAGTAACTCCAATATAGGGTTATCGGCAAGGTTTTTTTCTTAAATTTTGCTTTTTTCCTTTGCTTCTACTTAATATATGCAAGTACCCCCTTCGCACCTGCGAAAACAGTCCAGAAAAAATGGCCATTATTTCGTGTGTGTTTATTATCATCTTTTTGGAACAGCAACAAAACAATAACAATTTTTTATGCAGCAATTTAATTGTGCAGTTGGGCAGTTTTATAAAAAAAAAATATTGTTTATAGAGTTTTCGTTAAAAGCGAAGTCAAGCTCAATAAAATTGTTGTTTTGCGCTAGCTTAGAGTGAAAAGTTGCTAAGTCCCAATTAAAAATTGTAGAGATGAGGAGAAAAACTTCTTCTAGCCATTTTCTTCAAGTATTTCGCAACCCTTTGAAAACATTTTGCCCGTTGAAAGCGAAACTCCATACGAATCAGAGGGATTCGATCTTCACTAAAAGATTTCGTACTATTTTGGCCTTACCGAAATTTCGGAGCTTTTTTGGACTTAGCAAATTTTCCTTTCATTGGATATGAACGGGAAAACATAAAACAAGGACTTTTGCACTTTTCGAAACGATGCATTTTTAATTTCTCTAGCCTGCTGTATCAAAATATGAGCTTTCATAAAAAGTGGACTTAGCAACTTTTCACTCGAAGCTAGCGATATGTTTTTTCACTTTCGTTTGCTATTTTTTACTATTAAATATGTATGTAGTGTATAAAAATTAAGCAATCACCATTTAAACCATTTGTCAACTCTTTTGTTTTATTTTTTATTTATTTATTTTTTTTTTGAAGGAGGAAACCAAACAAGCGCAGTTCCTTTCACTCGCCATCGTTTATTTCATTTCCGTGCTGATGGTGTCCAAGTATCGCGACATATTGGAACCGCCAGCGGAGCCACAAATCCAGCGCCAGTCGCCCGTGATGCAACGTTCTGCAGCCGGTAAGTGTTGCCAATCATTTGGCATTATTGCTTGGTTCTACTATACTTTTGGTATACTTTTTTTCCTTAATTTAATTTTCTTCTCTGTTTGCGGTTAGTTTGTTTGGTTTTGTTTTAGTTCTTACGAATGCACCGAAATTTCAAACACAATTATTTATTTTTATATACTGAAATGANAAAAGACAAAAAAAAATTTCGTAGTTATTTTTTACTAATCCAGAGCAAAAAAAAAAACAAAACAAAACTCACACGAATTTATAACATTATTTACGATTTTATTTCGAGGGGGTAGCTATTGATCGTATTTTAAGTTTACGTAAGTTAATTTTAGTTCTGTACATAAATTAGCGAACATTGTAGACAACATAGAGCATAATTAGAGTTTAGTTAAGTTATGAATTTCTATTTATTATTATTTTTTATATATATAATTTGTATGGTACGTTTTTTATGATTTATGTACAAAATGTTACCCTCTTCTATGTATTGGACGTCAAGTTTACTTGCATATGTTTGCATTGATCAAAAAATTTATTTGTCCAATCAGTCTGATTGATGTTTCCTGAATTTGAAGCTCTTACACAAGTTTTGTTACATTCAATTGATTTTTGGATTTTTTTAAATTTTTTATTTTTATTTTTTTGTCGAATCAGTTTTGTTAATTTCTATCGTTGACAGCCAGTATTGCTAATTGTTATTTCCCAAATATTTTTCTCTCTTTCTCTTTTTCTTTGAACTTTATTTCACGCTGCTTTATTCGGATTTTGTAATTTAAAAATCAATCAACATTTACCAAATCACCAAACTATTTGGTGTAATTATTTTCGGAATTCATTTGAATGATACTACCATTTCGTAAAAAAAAAAATACCAACAAAAATATTATGAATATTTACGAATTTTTATTCGTAACATCCATTGTGTTTTTATTAAATTTATATACCAAATCGATTTTACATACTTACGTTCGTGTCTTACTGTGAACGTGTGTTATTGTGAATTATCTTTTGCCCATTCACTCGATATTTTATGTGAATGTAACAATGTTTTTATTGATTTGTGTAAACACAATTCGGTAAATATGTATTCACATTATTTACTTTTAAATACACCAACCAACTCCCCTGCACCAAATTTCGTTACATTCATCATCATCGCCATTATTCATCATCATTACCATTACCATTTTTATGACAATTTCCATTGTCATTACCATTACAATTACCAATACCATTACCATTAACATAATTATTGCCATTAATTATACCATTACCATTTTAATTACCATTACCATTACAATTACCATTACCATTACCGTTACCATTACAATCTCCTCCGCAATTATCCTTATAATCCACATTTCCATTACCATTACCACCACCAATACTATTACCATTACCACTTCTATTACCACTACCCTTATCATTTACATAACCGTTGCTATTTCCATTGCAATTACCTTCACCCTTACCATTACCAATTACCATTTATTATTTATTTATATTTCGAACATGGCTTACCTCAATGCCTCTGTTGCCTTTGTATTCCATTTCTTTGAATTCTTGTCCCCTCCTAACCCCCCTTGCGACATGGCAATTAGAACCCTCAGGTCGCCCGCTTTTCCCTCAGTGGTCACATCATGTGTACCCACAATTCTTGCCCAACAATTCTCATCAAAATCACATGCCTTCGGCGTCATCGGCGACAACATCGAATATGCAGCAGCAACAATCGCAAACATCGCATCAGCATTACTATCAGCAACAACAAATGGCTTCACCGCCACATCAACAACAGCTGTCACAGCAGCACAGTTACAGCCATCACTATGCCTCTCTGCAACAGCAACAGCAGCAACAACAACAGCAGCAACACCAACACCCAACATACTACAGTGAACAGCAACAGCTCCACAATCATGCAATGAGCGGCGGCAGCAGCAACAGCAGCAGTAATTACG